TACTGCTTTGCCTGCAGGAACCCAGAAACCAACTATATGGTAACTTTTTATTTACCAGTTTCTTGGAGAGACCCAAGATATGACCTCTCACCCTGCAGGTCCCTGCTGAACTGCTTATATCACTCCCACTGACATGCTTTGACCCAATAAAAAAATACCTTTTTGACAGGGAGAGATTTGCTTTTTTTTTGCTAGTGAGAGTACTTTCACATGCTTTCCGCAGTTTTTTAGACTTGGCCTATGATGGTAAGTGAGGTGTGCAAAAGAGATTTTCAACTTTTAACAAAAGGAGGGTCCCTGGATCTGACACTTATTGCAATTTGTTTAACAACAAAAGTTACATATCAGAAGAACACATGGTGGGAAAATAAACAGTGAGGGAAATTGCTTTTCACATTTTAGATTGATATTCAGTCAAATAGTTGATTTTGGTTGGAGGGTGTCCTTTGTGTTTTAGAAATTTAGAACGTCTTAAAGTAAACTTGTCTTTGCAAAATTATAACCACTGAGATTACCACGTTTAGTTTTGGTAAGTAAAGCACTGACATAACTTATATAGCATTTGATGTTTTTTGCAAATACTGAAATGTTTTGTTTTAGTTGGCAATTAAAAATGTCCCTATTTCATACATTGTTCTGATCAACTGTGTCTCCTTACAAAGAACAATTCTTCTATGTCTTCCTTCTTCCTCTTTATTTAGTTCACCAAAATAAATAATTGTTGACAACAGATTCAGTAGTATTTTTTTTCTACATAAACTGGCATATATACAGTATACTAATGAAGGGATAAGCAGTGCTACAATGCTGCTAATATTAGGCTGTATGGATGCTGTACATGAGGCATAGCTACCCATATGGAAGAAAAATATATTTGAAATATATTTTTAAAAATATTCTTATCAAATATATTGACAAATATTGGAAATACTACAATTTTGGCCATATTAAATATATTTAAAAAAAAAAAAAATATATATATATATATATATATATATATATATATATATCAATTCAATATAATACAGAGTTCATGTCCCTGCCACTACCATGTAACTAGAAAGTGAAAGCAGAAACAACTCATGTCACAGTCATTCTGCTGTATCCTCCTGTCAGCATGACAACTGACTAGCTTCTTGTGTTGCTTTTTCCTCCTGTAATCTGATTGTTGTTATACAGAGAATTGCAAGAGGCTGATACCAGGTCAGAGTTAGGTATTTACACTACTTCCATTTAAGAAAATACATTTAACAATTTATTGACGGATACGGAGCTGCTTTAGTTTGCGTATTTTACATCTGAATGGAGTTCAGCTTTAAAGCTGGAGTTTGTCTTGAAGCAAACATTTCCTTTTTATTTATTATTAATATTATACAGGATTTATATAGCGCTTTACAATATAACGGAAGACAATACAGCAACAATACAATTCAATACAAGAGGGATAGGAGGGCTTAACTGCTTCCCCTCCACCCTATAGCAGAAATACTGCTACAGGGCAGCAGGGGTGTGCAAAATCACAATGATTACTTGCGGACACCTGATGATCACTGTGTATTACCAACGGGGGCGAGAACTGTATGTAAACAATACAGTTCTCTCCCCTGTCAGTTCCTGCACACTGCTTTGTATAGCTCTGCATAGCACAGCCATACAAAAGCAGTGTGCTTACAGTGAAGCACACACAGCACATAATGTGAAACAGCACACAGTTAACCCTTTGATCGCACCAGATGTTAACCCCTTCCTGACCAGTGCCATTAGTACAGTGTCAGTGCTTTTATTAGCAGTGATCACTGTATTGGTGTCACTGGGGATGTCAGTGACACAAAGTTAGTTCCCCCCAGTGTCAGAATGTCTGCCGCAGTCCCGCTATAAGTCGCTGATTGCCTCCATTACAAGTAAAAATAAAAATTCCAGTACATATACCGACATTTGTACACACTATAAACGTTCAAGTAAACCAACAAATTTACATGTATTGGGATTTTTTTTTTAGCAAAGACACGTAGAAGAATACATTTTACCCTAAATTTATGACGAATTTTGAGATTTTACATTTTTTTATTGTTGAAAATGTTGAAAAAGTAAAAAAAATAGTTTTTTTTTTCTAAAAATTGCCGGTCTTTTTTTTGTTTATAGCACAAAAAATTTTAAAAAAAAAATGCACAGGCGATCGAATACCACCAAAAAAGAAATCTCTATTTGTGGGACATACATTTCATTTGGGTGCAGCATGACCGCGCAATTGTCAGTTAAAGTAGCGCAGTTCTGTATCGCAAAAAATGGCCTGGTCAGGAAGGGGGGTAAATCCTCTGGAGGGCAATAAATAGTAACTTTCAAAACAATCAGTAGATCCACAGTACAGGCTTCCATTGCTAGAGTAGCTTTTCATGAGATTTGGGCTGGTCTGTATTCACCAGAATCCAAGGTATTGCTTCACTTTCATCAAGGCACTGTAAGCAAAAAGTGTGGGTAAGGTAAGTAAAAATCATTTTTTTTTTCTTTACGAGCAGCATTTGTACATACTATGTGTGTCATCTGTGATCAGTACTGCACAACTGTATGTACTAGGTAGCAGGAATGTCCTGAGGCAGGTGCGGGGGGTGCGGTCCGCACCGGGTGACATCGACCGTACGGTGTGACACCTGCTCCACAAAAAGGTAAGTTGTAAAGCAAGGTGATGATCCCCACAGGATGGATCCGAGCCATCCTGCGGGGATCGCTGGCTTTCTTTACAACTTACCTTTTTGTGGAGTGGGTCCGGTGTCACCCCATATAGGTTGCATGCTGATGATCCCCACAGGATGGATGGGATCTGCGGATTGGGGAGCAAAATGGATCGGACTCCGATCCATTATGCTCAATCCGCAGATCTGAACCTCCTGTGAGGATCGTCTGCATGCAACCTATACGGGGTGACACCGGACCCGTTCCACAAAAAAGTAAGTTGTAAAGACAGTGGACGAGCCCAGCAGGATGGATCAGATCTGCGGATTGAGCATAATGCTGGTCTCCCTCCCTTCCCTGGTCTCCTCCTCCCATGCTTCCCTGGTCTCCTCCTCCCATGCTCCGCCTCCAGGACTTCTCCACGGTGTCACCCATCCTCTGGAACTCCCTACCCCAACCCATCAGACTATCACCTACTCTCCTCTCCTTTAGGCGCACCCTGAAAACCCACCTCTTCAGGGAAGCCTACCCCACCCCCTGCTAATTTGCCGACCTCCTCCACTCTTCCTACCACTCCATTCCCCACAGCTATCTCCTCCTGTACCACTATCCCCTCCCTCCTAGATTGTAAGCTCGAAGGAGCAGGGCCCTCGAACCCCTCGTGTATCGCATTGTATTGTTATTGTACTGTCACATGTTCTGTCTCCCTCTGTAATGTACAGCGCTGAGCGATCTGTTGGCGCTTTATAAATACTGTATAATAATAATAATGGATTGGACTCCGATCCATTATGCTCAATCTGCAGATCCGATCCATTCTGCGGGGATCGTCGGAGGGGGTGTCACCAAGTGTTACCGCACCGGGTGACACCAACCCTAGGGCCGCCCCTGCTAGGTAGTACTGTTCAAAGTACTACATAAAAATAGTTTTATAATGACAGTGGTTTTAGCCATTCCCTGCTCTAGCTGAAACTAAAAAAAATGGCTTAGACCCCGGTCATACTGGTGCAACTTGTCATGTGATTTGATAGTTTCAAATCGCATGACAAGTCGCACCCCTTTATCCGCAATGGAAGTGGTCATATCTGTGCGATTCCAACTCCACTGGAGTCGCAGCAATTTTGAAAGTACTTCATGCACTACTCTTTGCAAGTTCAGGTGCAACCTGCATAGACATCTGTGCATGAAGGCGCTCAGATGTGTTCCAAGTCGCACCTGAAGTTGGACTGACATCCGACTTTGAAATAGTGCAAATTCAAGAGAAGTTGCACGATTTCAAAGTCGGATTCGGTGTGACTTAGAATCACTTTAAACTAGTACATAAGAGGTAGGGGAAAAGAGAATAGTTATAAAATTAGAAATCCTCCATAAAAAAAAAACATTTGGGAGCAACAAATACAGTATATTTTATAGCATAATGAAAATGAACCTTACAATATTCTCATAATTACTAATACAAAGGTTTTCTAAGTCAAGGAAAAAGGTTAGGTTACCCAATTCCCCCCACCCCTTTGCCTTGCACATATACACTTGTTAGTGTCACTATAACCTTTAAAGTGGTTCTTAATGCTCAAGGTGTTTTACCTTCATGCATTCTATGCATGAAGGTAAAAATCCTTCTGTGTACAGCACTCCCCTCAGCCCTGAGTCCCATTGTGATCCGGCGATGTACTTGTGAGCCAGGGACTCTCCCTTCTCATTGGCTGAGACTGCTGTCAATCACAGCTAGTGAGCCAATGAGTTGAGAGAGGGGGGGGGGGCGGGGATGAGCTGGTGCTCTGTGTGTGAATTGACACTCAGAACAGCAGCTCAGGAGTGTTCCCGGTCAGGTGCCCCCATAGCAAGCTGTTTGCTCTGGGGGCACCCAACAGAAGGGAGGGCCTGCGGGGACCCCAGAAGAGGAGGATCTGGGCTGTTCTGTGCAAAACCACTGCACAGAGCAGGTAAGTATGACAAGTTTTTTTTTTTTTAAAAACTCAGCCTTTAGTATCGCTTTAACGATGCGTTTATCCATGACAATATAATACTGCCCCTATGTGTGCTGTTATATCACCATAGTTCTGAGCACTTGTGTGGGTAGTCTATAGCAGGGCTTAAAATTTCAAGTCCTGAGCTACTAGCCAAGCCTTAAGAGTTACTCGCCACCAACAAACAGAGACACCTGTACACACACACAGACATGTACACACACGCACAGAGGCACATGTACACACACACACACATACAGACACATGTATACACACACAGGCACATACAGACACGCATACACACAGATACATGTACATACACAGAAATACACACCACAGACACATGTACATACATACACATGTATGTACATACACAGACACATGTACGTACATACACACAAACACACATGTACATGCACACACAGACACATAAACACACACACAGATGCATGTACACACATAGATGTACATACACGCAGACACATGTACACACATGTATATACACAAAGACACATGTACATGCATACACAGCCACACACAAACACACACATGTACATGTACACACAAACACACCCCACACACACAGCCCGGTACTGCACTCTAGGGGGAGGCAGAGAGCACAGCACACACTCCTTCCTTTGCTTTCACTGCGCTCAGCTATTGAGCAGTCTGACGGCTCCCAGCGCCAATGACAGATCCGGCCTGAGCTCCGAGCCTGCTCAGCAAGACGGCCCTGGGGGACACACTCGCCCCCACCATAATTTCCACTCGCCATTGGTGAGCAGGCGAGTGGAAATTTCAAGCCCTGGTCTATAGAAACAAAAGCATTAGAGTAATTTTGTTGAGTGAGACTGTTTTACAAATGATCAGTTTTTGTTTGCTGACTTCACAAAGATAAATTTATACCATGCTTCACATTGTTTGATGAGTTTGCCTGATGAGAACTCCCCCATTGGCTTGACACCTTGTCATCCAAGGGTTTCATATGTCATAACAGTCATCAGAGACCTTCATGTGAGGACCCCATTACTTTAGCAAGTCATTGTTAACAAATATTTTCCCTATTTTTCAAATTTCAATTCATTATTACTGAAACATTTTTTTTTTCAGAGCAACACAATTCCATCAAGACACCAGCATTCATCTGTCATTTGCATGTTCCTGGCTCTGACAGCCTTGCTTTGTTTTTTTCTATGGTGCCTCCACTGTTCATGACACTGTAGACATATATACAAGTCTGGAGAGATTCCTGCGCTTCAGGTAGCAAAGTTTATGGTCAGATGTTTAAACTAGCTACCATCATCCATTTACTTGGACCAAACAGGGAAGAAAAATTGGGAGTGTTACAGCTGAGCTTCCCAGCAAAAGTAGCATGTTTATCTTCTCACTGCTCTTATAAACGCTTGTCTGACCTTTGCATGTTCATGATGAATGTAGAAAGTTGTTATGTATTAGGAACTAATTTGATCATGCACATTTATCATCCACCAAGTTATGGTATAAATATATACATTAGTATTATACGTGTGTTTATATCCTGTGACCGAGTCATTTAGGGAGGTAAATCAGCGCTAAATTTGTGGATCGTATTAACTGATAAAGTCCAGTTTGTAGATATTTTTTTCATCAGTTTTCTTTATTTGACAAAAATGAAGTCCTTTAGTTTTTCTATGATTTGTTTTATAGAAAAAAAGAAAGAACAACAAGTACAGAACAAAACAAAGGGACTTGCAATAAATGACATAGTTAATCAATTTGTCAAACAAATATCATATGAATACTGCCAACATAGCTATGAGGTACAACAAAGTTAGACACAGTGTAAATACTTGAGATGAAATATATATATATGAAAAATACATACAATAAAAAAGATGGTATTTTAATGCAATAAAATGATCATGGTCTGATTGTGTTACCAATCATACATCACCGTAGCAACAAATAGTGGGTATCATGTATTGCAGGTAATATACAATATCTACTCTGAGAGCTATATCCTCCGTAGAGTCTAAGTTTTATTAAGTAAGGGATGAAAGTATAGAGTCATTAAAATGGAATTCCAGGCTAGACCTAACTAAGCTTAAAACTGCTCTTACTCCCCATTTTACACCTATACTAACTACCTTGTAAAAGGAAAATGCACATACTTGTTTATTCTCAGGGTGCTCCAGTCTGGTCATGAGCTTTTCCAGTGGCTGGCTTCAGGACATATCGCTGACAATGGATGGAATGCCTGGACGGTGACATCACCCATAGGCATATATTTTTGGTGCTCTATCCTCTTCCCTGAAGCCACTGCTAGGTGAGAGAGAAGAGTCAATCACGTGACGGACCAGAGTGTCCTGAGAATAGGTCATTAGAAGCATCTTCCTGCTATAGGGCAGCTAGTATAGGTGTTAGAAAAGTGGTGGGAGCAGTATTAAGCTTGGTATGTTCTAGCCTGGAAATCCTCTGCAAATATAAGCTGAATTTTCTAAGTGCAGGTTTGAGTTTACCTTGTTTATCCAAACAGTTTGCAGATAATGTGTTGCCGATTTTTTTTAACAATGAAAAAGAAAGTTCAGAATATCTGATGCATTTAACTTGTTTTCACATTCTTTAATGATTCATAATGCACTACTTTGTATGCTAATACATTTTTAAAGTAGAACAAGGACACATAGATAGTGGAACTTTCTGATTTCCTGCAACAGTGATAGTCTGGGGACTTTCTACATGCATTTGTTTAAAAAAAAAAAAAAAAAACATGGTTGGGCAATAGCAAATTTTGAAAGCAATATAAAATCTGAAGCTCTAGGTGTAATTCATAGATCAGAAGATGGAATCAGAAGTTTCCGCACCTTCAAAAGTACATTGACTAAAATGTATCAGATACCTTCCTAGATGCCTCCCCAATGTTTTTCCATGTTTGATTTCTGAAATGATCCAGCTCCATTCAATTGGACCTCTAGTAGGAATCTGTTTGAAGGGAAGGGCTTTGTTCCCCTTCCAACCAATCTGCATCTCCTTTTGATTTTGTACTACTGAATGAGAATCATACAAGCAAGAATTGAATTCAGTGATTTGAAAACACAAGAATACTTCTTTATTAAAGCCTGTTAACACTTATGTTTTTATGCATTAAACTCAATATCTGGTTTGAAAAATAGCTTTTCCTTCTGCATATGACATTTTAACATTTTGATATATGCATATACAGTATATATAGGCAGCACAGTGGTTAAGTGGTTAGCACTTTTGTCTAGCAGCACTAGGGTCATTGGTTTGAATCCTAACCAAGGCATTACCTGCCTGGAGTTTGTATGTTATCCTTTTGCTTTCATGGGGTTCCTCTGGGTACTCCGTTTTCCTCCCACACTCCAAAGACATGCTGGAAGATTAATTGGCTCCTGTCTACATTGACCTTAATATGTGTATGTATGAATGTGAGTTAGGGACCTTAGATTATACGCTCCTTGAGAGTTATGGACTGATGTGAATATACAATATATGCAAAGCGCTGCATAAAATTGATGTATAAGTAACTGTAATAAATAAAATACTTTTATATATATAAAAGGATGTTGCAAATCGGTGCTGTGACTTTACTTGGCCTTGTAGGTGGACTTAACATAGAATCCTAATAGTCCAACCAATTAAGATTAGAGGAGAGAGAACACTATTGGTAAAATCAAAGGAAAGGTAAAATACTTCTTTAATTGCTTTATACATCTTCAAGTCCTTAAGGGCCTGCTCATACTAGTTTTACTAATAATTCAACAAATCAGAATTTGTCAGTTGCTCATCTCTAGTCCCAATTAGGGAGATGTATACTTATTCTTTTGTCCTGGATATCATTCTTATCAGAACAGAAAGAAAGGTATACGATATACAAAATCTAATGGTTGTCGCCATCACAAAAGAATGTGTACATGAAATGAAGAAAATATTCTCAAAGGGCAATACAGACAACAATATAAACCCAACATAATACAAAGTATTCCCACGGGCAGCTAAAAATATATGATCATCAATCAATAAACCAACTTAATGGTGAATTAACTAAGAAAGCTGCCCACACCTACAAATACTCATACTGTATGTTCACAAATACCAGTAAATGAAGATAACAGTGCTGCGCTAGTTTTTTAATAAACTATTGTTTTAAAAGGATAAAGCACTATTGTTTTTACTTACTTTTTCCGATATATGTATGCTGAGTGGAGGTATTAAGGAGGTTGTTAATCACCGAAGGAAGATTCTAAATTCAAGAGACATCTTAATCTTATGTCCACTTCAAGGGACACAAGTGTTTTCTGACCAAACTTTGTGTGAGGTCAAAAGCTCCAGGTGAGGGCACTTCTGGTGTTTTGGTGGTGGATTAATACAAGTGATATTAAGAAGATATGAAGTAATTATGGGATGCATTCTCATTATTTGGGGGAGAAACAATTGATAACTGTCCGTGATACTTTTTTTATTTGCACTAAAATACAATTTTGAGGACAAGCTTTTGGGCTATGTCCCCTTCTTCAAGGTCTGAGCAGTACTATTACAATGTTTTAGCAGAATGTTAGAAGTTGAAGATGAGAGAAAAAAAAAAAAGCAGAAAGAAACACAAGCCTAGGGTTAAACTAGAGATAAGATTGTAAGCTCGAAAGAGCAGGGCCCTCAATCCCCTCATGTTTTGCATTGTATTGGTATTGTTCTGTCACATGTTCTGTCCCCCTTTGTAATGTACAGCGCTGAGCGAACTATTGGCGCTTTATAAATACTGTATAATAATAATAATAAGATACAGCAGAGCAAAAGCAAAGACTGGGGGGGGGAGAACAACAATCACAGAGAGAGTCATAGAAATGTCGGATAATGATCATTATTTGGGGGAGAATTAAGAAGAAGCACTAATAAGAGACTCACTGCATTATAGAGACTATTTACAAGTTGTTGTTTTTCTGTGTGAAGTATTTTGTTTTAATGAGATGGTAGAAGGGCGATGGATATAATTTAAGGAAATTTTCTTTATTCACTGATAAACCCAACATAAATTCTAACACTCCACACACAAGCAAAAATTAGACATTCATAGGAATCGTTCTACTGTTACGTAATGACAAGTGGCATTCCTTTAAAGAGAGGAGGATCATGTAATAGTTCATAACAATATGGAGGTAAGGAGGGTTTTGTAGAAGAAGACCGTTAGTTGTAGAACGACTAAATATATTCGTATGAAGAGAAATATTTATACTATTGTTTCTAAAAAGAAGCGCCAGTTTCTTGGCTGTCATGCAAATTGTGTTAATTGTTTTCAAGTAACTGACCAGGAACAAGGATGCAGGTTAGGAGTTAACTTCAGTCGGACTAAACTTACTATATGTTTGTTCTGACTCATTGACTCCAAACATATTTAAACCACAGATGCCACATAACTAGCATTTTCAGAAGAAGGTAATCCTTGGAAACATTTATTTCTCTTAGCACTGATTTATTTTAATTATACAGTTAATAGGGAAAATGTAAATAGTTGTAGTATTTATCTTTACACAATGAGCTAATAATCATTTGCAGGCATATTTTGTCTCAGAAAAGACCACTAAATAGCTCGTAAGTAAACATGACAGTGACAAAGAACTATTGTTTGGTATGATTAAGGCTTCACACATTTTCCAGATATTAAAAATGGATGTGTTTTATCCGGAAACATTGTCTGTTAAAGGAGTTGGCTAAATGTCACTGCTGCATTTTTATATTTATGTGATCTGTGCTCCTGCTGTGAGAAGTGGAACTTGTGTGGGTGTATAACAATGTAACTGAACAGAGTCTTTTATCAA